ATTTTTCCTCCTGAGAAGAGTTGGCCACGTTTTTTGTTGCTTAGATATAAGGAGACTTAGACCATGGTATAAGGTCCTGGGGAGTCTCTTCCTGTAACTGCAGGTGTAAAGCCACAGGAATGGCAGTCAGTTGGCACCAGGCAGAGCCAGCTGGGGCTGGAGGGAGGGCTGGCCACTGAAAATGCCAGCTCAGCCTGCTTCTCTGCTGTTGGCCTCTGGATTCATCTTTTTCTGTGTGTCCCAGGCATTAGAAATTGAGCACATTTCAGTCCTGTGCCTTCTGGGTGTCACAGACATGGGAGCTGTGCTGGGAGGGATCTCCACCCACCCCAAGATGGTCCATCTGGGGAATTCCAGACTGGTCACTCAGGGACAGCCTTACTTCCCAGGGAAGGTGGTATTTTCCTGTGTCTGGTCAATAGCAATTAGCCGCATTTAACAGCCTAGGGAGAGATGGCTGGTGTCATGGTGACCCTGTCACCACACTGCTATGTTGGGTGTCTGTCTGGGCCCCAGGACAGAGGCTGTGGAAGTCAGGGACTGCTGGCCCTCTGTGTCTACAGAACTTAGCCCCATATCTGGCAGAGTGGAGGCTTGGTGAGCACACACTCTCGCTCATTCTGCAGAAGACGCCTGGCATCTGTGCTGCACATTGTACACTGTTGCTGGCACTGAGGAGGCACATGGTGGTGAAAAGGCCATCCCTGTCCTCCTTCATGAGCTTATATGTAGTGTGAATAGTCACGTCAGCAAATACACATCAGCCAGATAGTTGGAAATTGTGATGAGGCTCTGACCTGATAAATGTGGCGTGTGATCCAGAGACACTGGTTTTTCAGGAAGGTGATGAGAAAGGGCCTCTCCCAAGAGCTGACAGTTAAGCTGAAATCTGAATGACAAGGACAAGCCAGGTACATGGGGACCTGGGAAGAGCGTGTCTGCCAGGCAGAATATCAGCTGGAAGAAGCAAGGCTGGGTGATTGGGGAACAGCTCAGAGGCTGCCGCTGAGCATGAGGAGTGAGGGGCCTGGGGGTGGGAATCGCCCATATGGGCAGGACCAGCCACGAGAGTCTGGGGGACTATGGGGAGGAGCTTACCCTAGGGATCAGGAAAGCCACTAGAAGATGTTGTGCAAAAGTGTGCAGTGATGGGGTTTGGGTTTTCAAGGGTCCCCCTGGCTGCCAGTGGAGGACAGACTGTAAGAGAACAGTAAAGAGGTGAGCCATCCAGGCCAAGAAAGATGATGGCTTGTCTTGATGGTGATGTGGAGACAGAAAGAAGCCGAGAAACTGGCAGTGGAGTGAATAATGCATGCACTAAAGCAGGCCCTGACAACAAAGTGTCTCTGCCTGGACCCTTGACGCCTACACTCCTTCCAGAGACATAGACATGCTGCTGCTGGACCCCAGCGCAGACATCCGGGAGAGCCTTCTCAGCATGCAGACCCTAGGGATGGGGCCAGGTGCCCAGCCTAACCCTGCTGACTTTGTGACCATGCATCAGTGGATGTGCTGCTGCAAACTGGGTGGCATTGTGCTGGATCAGAAATGGTGGTTCCAACACCCCCACAGTACTCATCATAGAGACTCTAAGGTTAAGAAGACCTCCAGGGGAAATCTCAGACTTCAACCTCCATCTGTAACTGCTTCTCTTAGCGCCAGAAGCGTCCGTATAATTGAACTTTTAGAAACCAATGTGTTGGAAAGTTGAAACCATCTAATTATCATGAGCTTCTCTTTAACTGAGCCCCACTGGGTGCCCCCCCAGGTGCTTTGTTAGCCTATTTTGTCTGCCAGCAACCCTGCAAAGTGGGTTACTGTCCCCTTTGGCAGTTGAGAACACTGAGGCTCTGGGAGGTTGTCAGGCTTACTCTCAGAGCCTCAGTCCAGCACAGAGCTGGGCTGGACCAAGTCTGTCAGGCTCCAAGCAGTGTGCCCCTCCCCCCTCTCCCTTCTCACCCAGCTCTGCCTCACCCTGCTCAGCTCCATCTCCACCCTGTGCCACCCAGTCCAACTCTGCCCCCCTTTCCCCCTTCCCCCCTCCTTCCCTCCCCTCCTCCTGCCATGCTCAGCCTGCCCCGCCTACCGCGCGCACGTCCTCAGACAGGTCCTCGTCCAGGTCGCCCTTGATAGCCTTTTCCAGGGTGCTGATAGAGATCTCCAGGACCTTCTCGTGGTGGTGGTTCTCCAGGTCCCGGCACTGGGCCATCGTGCAGCCGTGAGTTAAGCAAAGGCCAGGGAGGAGCAGGCCCGGGGCGTCCCTGACATGCTCAGAGGGCCGGGGACAGACTTTAAGGGCCCAAGGTGAGCTCGGAGATTCCGGCTGGCAGCACCATCCACCCACCACAAGCACCAAACTCTGGGCCATCCCAGACTCCCACCCCCGCCCACACCTGGTCATCACTGATGGACCCTCAGCCCCTGCCATCATGCCACTTCTCTCCCTCCTGCATGGAGGCTGTTGGCGCTGGCCTCTGGGCTAACTGCTTCTCACCCTGTGCACTTGGGACCACTTGTCGCCTCTATAACTTGTCTCCCTGAGGGACTGTGAGCCTCAGGAGGGCAAGACCAGAGGGCTGCTTCTAGCTCGATCACAGCAGTTTGCCCCATGTGGAGTGCCTGAGTTCCGGTGGAGGAAGGTTGGCCATGCTCCAGCGTGGGCTCCTCACTTTAGCATTTCACCTTATAGTGATGCACTCCTTATAGTGTCTTCCATGTGGGGGTTGCCTGCAACACAGGGGGCATCATCTCCCAGTGAACATAACCCATATGAGAACAATCATGCTGGGACTCTACTGCAAACAGCCGGTCCCTGTGCAGAAGTCCCTCTGAGCATCCAAACCACAGCTCTAACCAGGCCATCATTGTTCTGAAAGTTGGGAAACCCTCTCAGACCCTGTGGAACATTCTTTTGAGCATGCTAAGTGGTTGCCAAATCTACAGCCTTTGAAGGTGAGCTTTTTCTTGGTGAAAAACTGGAGTTTTTACATTCCTCTAATTTCAGAGGTGAAGGAGGATTCCCACTAAATAGGATCCTGTGATGAATTTAAATATCTTGGCAAAGATGCAGATCTTTCTGTAAATCAAACCGAGATTAGGTATTTCTGGTAAAAAGTGAAGTATGATTATAGAGCACTGACTTTTTACTGTCTCTGTCAATGTGTTCGGAGCACTGGGAGAAGCAGGGGCTATGGGAGTGTCCCTGCAGATGGCCATCTGGAAGAGGACACCCCACTTTTTGCATCCTCTTAGTTTGCAAAGAAGCTTTACTCTTCCCTAGCTTTTGTTAAAAATTCGGGTGCCTCTTCCCCAGCTCCTCCAGAGGCCAGGACAACCCCACGGGCTCTGCAGTTCCTCCCCACGGCAGGAGGTCATCACAGAAAGGATATAGGCTTTGGACATTTTCGACAAAGAGTCCCACCAAATCGACAATGTTTCTTTCAAACATGTTTATAGTCTCCTGGAAATGTTAAAGAACACAGTTAATGTGCATATTTAGACATCCAGCACAGAGCAAAAGGTGCTCCTTAGAATTTGGCAACCACCTCCGCTGCTCACAGGCCTTCAGGGTAAAGACCACCCATCTTGACCCTCCTGAGCAGATGGTTGTGAACTGACCCTCTGCTCTCTCTAGAGTTGCTGTTCTCCAACCATATTAACTCCCTCGCCTTCTGAATGTTTAATCCTGTCACCGGAACTTTGCCAGGAAAACTTGTCCCTGTCTTACTCCCCTTACCTGCCTGCCCAACACACACACAGAGCTAACCCCCCCTCCTTTGGGTTTCTCAGTGACATCTGTGGTTCACCTCCAGGGAAACAGTGGAATGAGCTGTCAGGAGTCAGACTGCCTGGGCCAGTATCTCAGCTCCAGCACTATGTATAGCTCTGGGAAAGGCATTTCACCTCCTTGGGCCTTACCTTCCTCACCTGTGAAATAGGTTTCCTGCATAATCCCTGTGTTGTGGAGTTGTGGTGAGGTTAAATGAGTCACTTCACACAAAAGGCTTTGCAAGGTGCCTGGCAGAGAGGAGGCCCTCAGTAGGAGCTGGCTATCACCCCAGATCTCTTTCTGTTAGTTGCTGTTTTGTGGCGCTTAGCAAGGCACCTAAGGCCCAAATGGGACTTAGTATTGATTAAAGGAACAATGGAAGATGTGATTTCCAGGCCTGCCTCTCTGGGAGTGCCCCACCCCCATCTGCCATAGACTCCAGGGACTGCAAGGTGGGCAGGGGTGGAATCTATAGGAACATGAGGACTGTCTGCAGAGTGAGCAAATTACACAATTTTCAAACACATGTACATGCTGTTCTAGTGAATAAAAACAGGGTCATTGAAAAGCATGACTGCCCTTGTGGCCTTCTGGCCACCAGTAATACAAGTAGGACAGCACATGGGTTCTGGGAAACGTCTGGATGTCAAAAAGCAATCTCCTTGCATGAAAAAGGTTGGGAGCTACTGCCTCGCCCTCCCCTGGCACTGTGTGCTGCTTCTACAGTGCCTGCATTTCCCAGCGGGGAGGGAGCACCTGCCCTGTGATGTGATGTGGAAATCTATCCCATGTCTGAGGTGTCACTTGACGTGTGAGGAATTGATTAGGCACTATCTCTTGGCCCAGCCACAGCAGCATCTGATGAGGTTCAATTCATCACACCACTTCAGACTCCTGGCCTCCGCTGCCTTATAACACACACTCTGGCCACTAATGCATTTCAGACAGCGGCGCTTTTCATTTCCACTACTTAGTGCTGAGTTGCAGCCTCCTCGCATCGCCTGAGAAGCGGCAAGTGCAGGCTGCAATGCGGCAGAGCCTTTGTTTGGTCCCCGAGCGGGGGTCCGTTTTGCTTTTAGAGTACCTGGATAGCTCCTTGGGTCTCATCGAAAACCTCTCCCCACTGACTTCCAGGTTAGAGGGAACATTTCAGAGGAATGAGCTCACCTCTCATTTTCCACAAGAATCCCTTCCAATCTAAATGATTAAAATGTATTAAAAGCAAACACAGGACTGATGAGCAAGAAAGCTGCAGCCTGCCACGCTGAGTCGTGCCGAACGTTTCCAGCAGAGGCGTGCCTGTGGAATGCTGCAGTTCACCTATGGATGTGCAGCTGCATCCTCAGATTCTGGCACCTGTGTCCAGGGCCCAGCCTCACCTCCAGCTGCTCCACCAGCTGCATCTCCAGCGTCATGAGTGCATCAAACAACTCACTGATGTCAGTGCTGCATTCCAGGATCATCTTCTCAATGTTGGGCATCTCCAGCTCCTCTCGAATGGCACTTAAACTCTGGAAACAATAGACTGCACTTTAGGAATCAACAACTAAGTACGGTTAGATAATGGCAGGTGCTAATTCGGTTTTGTGGGTAAGAATTTGGACTCTGGAGTCAGCCTGCCCGAGTACAAGTCTCAGCTTTGCCATTTGCTGGCTTTGAGAGATTGTGGAAGCTATGTCCACAGTCTCCGTGCCTCAGTTTCCTGCTCTGTAAAGTGCAACTGGCAGCCCGTAACTCGACACAGGGAAGAGAACATATGTCAGGCTCTTTGGGCACTAGCAAGCACTCACTCCCTGTTAGCTCCGGTTTCTACTGGAGGCTGCTAGGCAGGGTGGAAGGAGCCATGGCTTTCATGGGGTTCAGAGCATTTCACACCAAAATGTGCCACTTTGGCATAGTGATTATTTTGAGTTAAAGATACTTAAAAAAAACAGAAAATATGAAGAGGACACCCTGACCTCCCTTTTTCTTCCTGAAAGCAGGAGTTACATCTCCCATGGGAAAGGTGCCCTCCCTGTACCAGGAGGAAGGAAGCCATTCTAATCAGAGGCAGGGAGTCCAGGCCAAGGCGAATCTGTTTGAACAAACCTTGTTAAACTAACCCTCATCTGCCTCATCACTTATCTATGATGAACTGCCTTAGCCCAAACCTCTTTGTCTTGTTAGAATTCTCACAATTCACTACTCTTTGTCCAACCAAGTATATAAGCTTTCAGCCTTAACGGCTTCTTGAGCCTTCATTTTGCTTGTGAATGCTCCCAGGTACATGTAAAAGTTACTAAATAAAAGTTGTATGCTTTTCTCTTGTTTGTCTTATGTCAGTTTAATTCTTGGTCCCAGTTGGTGACCTTAATAGGCTAGAGGAAAAAATTTACCTGCCTTACAGCTTCAGAGTTAGGTGGACCTGAATTTGAATCCTTCCCGGGTCACTTAGTAGTGTGACCTTGAGAGACCCACTTTCATTCTCTGACTCAGTTTCCTCCCTGTAAATGGGAAGAAGCATCTCTGTCTTGCAGGGTCCTGGGGATCAGAGGCCGTGTGCAGGAAGCACCTGGTGCACAGGCTGTTGTCCACGCTGGTCTCAAACTCCTGACTTCAGGTGATCCACCTGCCTCGGCCTCCCAAAGTGCTGAGGTTAGAGGCGTGAGCCACCATGCCCAGCCAAGTAATAACTTTTTTAAAAAGAAAGGTCTGGTCTGATGGTAGTAGGTTATCACAACTTACTAAATTTGGTGTCACTAAAGCTGGTATACAATCTCCCACTGCTAACTTTGATTAGCTTAAAAAAAAAAAAAAGAAACAGCCAGGTATGGTGTATTCCTATAGTCCCAGCTACTTGGGAGGCTGAGGCAGGAGAATTGCTTGAGCACAGGAGTTCAAGGCTGCAGTGAGCTATGATGGTGCACTGCACTCCAACCTGGGCAACGGAGTTAAACCCTGTTTCTAAAAATAATAATAAATAATTAATTTAGGAAGATAGAGGCTGGGCACGGTGGCTCATGCCTGTAATCCCAGCACTTTGGGAGGCTGAGCTGGGCAGATCCCCTGAGGTCAGGAGTTCAAGACCAGCCTGGCCAACATGGAGAAACCCCATCTCTACTGAAGATACAAAATTAACTGGTGATGGTGGTGCATGCCTGTAATCCCACCTACTTGGGAGGCTGAGGCAGGAGAATCGCTTGAACCTGGGAGGTGGAGGTTGCAGTGAGCCAAGATCAGGCCATTGTACTCCAGCCTGGGCAACAGAGCAAAACTCTGTCTCAAAAAAAAAAAAAAAAAAAAAAAAAAAAAAGAGAGAGAGAGAAAGAAACCAAAAACCAAACAGAAAAGTGGGCAAGGGCAAAATATAAGTACAAATCATTCACAGAATAAGAAACACAAATGGTTGTAAAACATGTATTGCTCATCCCCACTTAAGGGAAAATAAACGAATACTCAAGGTGCACAGATTGGCAAACACGAGGAAGCCTGTGACACTGGCCCGACAATGGCTGTGGAAGGTACAGGTTCTGTGGGTTACAGCTGGACAATAACCATGAAAAGGACCGATGCACAGTTCTGCTTCTAGGACTTCATCCTGCAGGTCAAACTGGCACCAACTTATTCAGTGCAACACTAAAAGAGCAAAAGGTTGGGGAAAAATCCAACTGTCCATCAGCAGGGACTGGCTAAATAATTATGGCTCATCCATGCAATGCGATATTTTAGTTACAAAAAAATGAAGCAACTTTTTCATTTGGAAAGCAAATTACAGAACAGAGCATGCTATGCGCGCGCGCACACACACACACACACACACACACACACACACACACACACACAGAGATACAGGGGTGGGAGGGAGACGGTCTCCCCCAGTGGACATTCTTCAGTCTGTGCCATGCGCACATACCACCTATTCGAGAGTGCATCTGACTACACACAGACACGCTGTCGTCCTTTTTGGCTGACTGCTCAGGCCTTGCACAAATGCTTTCCCTTTCTGTCTCTGTTTCTCACTACAGTTCTTCAAGGTTGTCTCTGTTCTGCAAATGAGGAAATGGAGGCTAGGAGAGGGTCAATAATGTGTCTCTGGGTCACCAGTGAGGAGTCTGCCTGAGCCCCAAGCCTTATATGGCTGCACCATGACTCTGAAACGTGGCTCACTGGGCACCTGGAGCAGTGTGCTACGTGCAATAGATGAGGCCTAATGGGGGTGAGTGAGAGGAGCGGAGGAAAAACTACAGGAGAGGGCCTGTCAGGGAGGGAACTGGGGGTCTGCAGGGCTCGTGGAGTCTTGGGAACTTCCAAGTCAGTGGCCTCTATCTAGGCTGTGCATGGAAAGCACCTGGGAACTCTGTCTGGGAAACCCCTGTGTCAGGCCATGCCCCAGTCTAAGTGGGTGCTGTTGGACCTGGATGTGAACAGGTTTCCAGAGTCTAGGGACTCCACATGCAGGCTGGGCAGAATCCACTGCACTCGGCTCTAGAAGGGGAGCACTAGGGTAGTCAGCTCATCCCAGGTGGCCTTTGAGGAGCCGGCCTGCACTGAAGGCACATGCCTGAACAGAAGAGCAAGTGGCACATTCCATGTTTCAAGTCAGGCTTGGTTTGGCATGGCCCACGTCCTGCTTCTGCAGAGGGACTTGCTACTGAGGGGCCGGGTCCCTGCACCGGGATTCAGGAGGAGCCAGCTAGCTGACATTTAGGCATCCCAAGCCCAGTGGCTACAGGGACCAGGCAGGAAGGCTGGATAGGGACTGAGGGACTGGAGATATGACCTGTCCAGAGGGGACAACTGCCACTCAAGCCCTGATTACAACTGCTTCCGGAGAAGCTGGTAACCACAATTTTTCTGTGAAATCTGCTAGTTTCTAATGTCAGCAGGATGTTCATGTTTTAAAACCCTCTGCAGGCCAAATAAAACACATATGTGAGCCAAATGGATTCCTCCACTGACAGTTTTAAATTTCTGCTTGAACGCAGTAACCCCTGCTCCCTAAAACATGATAAGGAGGGTCTTGAGAGTTAAATCACACAGCATGTGAGGCCTGGAGTTAATGAGACAGGAACGCAGGTGGCCGAGGGGGAGGCGGGAAGCACATGGGAGTGGACCGCCTGCTCCATCAGATCTGAAGTTGCACACTGGGGACTTTGCTCTACTTTAAGCTCACAACAAGGAAGGGCCTTATGGGCTCCTTAAAGCCCCTTATGCTGCAGGAAGCTTGGTGTGTGTGAACACTTTTTTGAGGAAAAAGAAGGTTTACAGTTTTCCTTAGCGTCTCATAAAGATCTGTGATTTAGAATAGTCTAAGCATCCTGTCTGTAAAATGAATGCCAACTGAAAGAGGTGGCTGCCATCAAGTACAAAGATTGGTGCACTTCCCAATGGCCCCTGCTTGGGCTGGACCCCGTGGCCTGGTTAGGCCGAGTCCTGACCACCCGGAGCCTTCTCCTTTGCTGCTCCTGGTAGGTGGAGGAATGCCCTCCCTCCCTCCCCATCAACTTATCTTTTTTCTGTGAGCCTCAGCCTTCCCTAAACTCCTCAGCCTGAGATAAGGCACCCCTAGGGCACCTGCAAGCCTCCCCAGGCTTCCCTCCAGGATGGCACTGATCCCTCTGTTTGCTTAGGTGGGGGCTGGGGCCTCGGCCAGGGTCTGAGACCCACAAAGGCAGGAACCACGTCCAGTGTGGCTCCAGCTTCTTAGGGCCAGGCAGAGAGTAGAGCTCAGAAAATGTCTATTAAATGAATGAATGAACAAAAGAGAAGGATAGTAATTGTTACTGTCAAAATAGTAATGGTAATACTAATACAGTTATTAATCGTAATGATGATGATAAGCTGGGAGGTGGGGCTGACCTTGAATCCCAAGGGCGTTTTGTGTGACAAGGACCTACAAGCCACATGTCAAGCAGCGGGGAGCTGTGGTTGGTGGTGCTGGGGTAAGGCGGGCCTTGGTTCTGCCACTGATTAGCTGTGTGTTCGCTGGCAAATGGGGACAATAACCATGGGCCTCAGGGGTCATCAAAGGGTATAGGAGTTGCAGCCCCTCTACAGTGGGGGTGGCAGGGCCAGGGAGAGCCTCCAGCAGGAGGCAGGGAGGGCCTCAGGTGGCTCGGGGCCTACCATCAAGTGCTTCTCCTCGAATTTGGCAATCTTGCGTTTGCCCTGCTCCTGGTTTTCCTGGATGGCCTCATGGACACATTCGTTGAAGGTGTCAAGCTCTGTTTTCCGCTTCTCCTGCTGTTTCAGGCCATACTCAAAAATGTTCACACAGATGATGACAAACTTGTCCCTGTAGGTGAGTGGCCGTTAAGGAAGCCCACAGCTGTTTCAGGAGCAGGCTGCCGGGGTTATGGCAAAGGTGTTGGTAAGCCTGGCACAGGGCAGAGACTGTGCCCTCAACAGTGTGTGGGACTCAAACTCCTGGTGTCATTTGGTTCATTTGGTGGATGAAGAAATCAAAGGCCCAGAGAGCCAGGAGCCAGGATTGAGCTGTGAGTACAATGCCCGTTTGGTGCCTTCCTACCCCCAGCCTGAGGGATTCAGGAATGGGGCCTGTGTGAAGAAAGAAGGCAGAGGCCTTCATGGAGTCTACAGAGCAGAAGACAGACATGCTCAGAGAGGCCCCAGAAGGGAGGCCTGGGAACCTGGGGACCTGCGAGCCGGTCCCAGCTGGGGAAGGCCTATAATCCCTATAATCGTGCCTATAATCCCAGCACTTCGGGAGGCCAAGGCAGGAGGATTGCTTGAGGCCAGGAGTTTGAGACCAGTCTAGGCAACATAGTGAGACACTGTCTGCATTAGTTTGTTTCACGCTCCTGATGAAGACATACCCAAGGCAGTGTGCATTTCTGTCTCTGGTGTGCTATCTGGAAGGGCACCCTTACTGAGGGCCTGTCTTGGTGCTCAGCTGCACTGGGGATGTTCAAGTCCTGGCTCTGCCACTGCTTCCAGGACCCACCCTGGCAAGTCACTTTACCTCTCTGGGCCTCAGTTTCCTCATCTGCTGCTGATGGTGCAAAAGAGCCTGCCACATGGAGTCCTTAGAGTCGGACAGGTAAAACCCACAGGGCCTTGGTGACCCTGTGAGTTGGAAGCTGATGCCCAGAGAGATGAAATGTCTTGCCCGAAGTCACGTGGCTATATAGTCCTACAGGAAAGGCAAACCCGGGTCACTGGCTGGCAGGGACAACCCATCGAGGGAGCCCTGCTCTTCACTGCTCCTCCCCACCCTTCCCTCATTCTTTCTAGAATGTCAGGTGTGAGTGTTTGGTTTGTTTTTAGAGCTGGTGATATGGTTTGGCTGTGTCCCCACCCAAACTCATCT